CATGCTAGCGTGATGGGGATGGCCTTAATTCTTTACCACCCCTTACTATCCATGCCTTGAGCACCCCATATGAGTTTCAGAGCAATCTGAGAAGGGTAGCATAGTGGCGAGAAGGGAAGCGTCAAGGCATGCATCAGGGGTAGGAAAACAGCACCCAAGCACTTGATGTTATGGCATGGATAACCACGCTAGCGTGATGGGGATGGTCTGAATTCTTTACCACCCCTTACTATCCATGCCTTGAGCACCCCATATGAGTTTCAGAGCAATCTGAGAAGGGTAGCATAGTGGCGAGAAGGGAAGCGTCAAGGCATGCATCAGGGGTAGGAAAACAGCACCCAAGCACTTGATGTTATGGCATGGATAACCATGCTAGCGTGATGGGGATGGCCTTAATTCTTTACCACCCCTTACTATCCATGCCTTGAGCACCCCATATGAGTTTCAGAGCAATCTGAGAAGGGTAGCATAGTGGCGAGAAGGGAAGCGTCAAGGCATGCATCAGGGGTAGGAAAACAGCACCCAAGCACTTGATGTTATGGCATGGATAACCACGCTAGCGTGATGGGGATGGTCTGAATTCTTTACCACCCCTTACTATCCATGCCTTGAGCACCCCATATGAGGTTCAGAGCAATCTGAGAAGGGTAGCATAGTGGCGAGAAGGGAAGCGTCAAGGCATGCATCAGGGGTAGGAAAACAGCACCCAAGCACTTGATGTTATGGCATGGATAACCACGCTAGCGTGATGGGGATGGTCTGAATTCTTTACCACCCCTTACTATCCATGCCTTGAGCACCCCATATGAGGTTCAGAGCAATCTGAGAAGGGTAGCATAGTGGCGAGAAAGGAAGCGTCAAGGCATGCATCAGGGGTAGGAAAACAGCACCCAAGCACTTGATGTTATGGCATGGATAACCATGCTAGCGTGATGGGGATGGTCTGAATTCTTTACCACCCCTTACTATCCATGCCTTGAGCACCCCATATGATTTTCAGAGCAATCTGAGAAGGGTAGCATAGTGGCGAGAAAGGAAGCGTCAAGGCATGCATCAGGGGTTGGAAAACAGCACCCAAGCACTTGATGTTATGGCATGGATAACCATGCTAGCGTGATGGGGATGGTCTGAATTCTTTACCACCCCTTACTATCCATGCCTTGAGCACCCCATATGATTTTCAGAGCAATCTGAGAAGGGTAGAATAGTGGCGAGAAGGGAAGCGTCAAGGCATGCATCAGGGGTAGGAAAACAGCACCCAAGCACTTGATGTTATGGCATGGATAACCATGCTAGCGTGATGGGGATGGTCTGAATTCTTTATCACCCATTACTATCCATGCCTTGAGCACCCCATATGAGTTTCAGAGCAATCTGAGAAGGGTAGCATAGTGGCGAGAAGGGAAGCGTCAAGGCATGCATCAGGGGTAGGAAAACAGCACCCAAGCACTTGATGTTATGGCATGGATAACCATGCTAGCGTGATGGGGATGGTCTGAATTCTTTACCACCCCTTACTATCCATGCCTTGAGCACCCCATATGAGTTTCAGAGCAATCTGAGAAGGGTAGCATAGTGGCGAGAAGGGAAGCGTCAAGGCATGCATCAGGGGTAGGAAAACAGCACCCAAGCACTTGATGTTATGGCATGGATAACCATGCTAGCGTGATGGGGATGGTCTGAATTCTTTACCACCCCTTACTATCCATGCCTTGAGCACCCCATATGAGTTTCAGAGCAATCTGAGAAGGGTAGCATAGTGGCGAGAAGGGAAGCGTCAAGGCATGCATCAGGGGTAGGAAAACAGCACCCAAGCACTTGATGTTATGGCATGGATAACCATGCTAGCGTGATGGGGATGGCCTGAATTCTTTACCACCCCTTACTATCCATGCCTTGAGCACCCCATATGAGTTTCAGAGCAATCTGAGAAGGGTAGCATAGTGGCGAGAAGGGAAGCGTCAAGGCATGCATCAGGGGTAGGAAAACAGCACCCAAGCACTTGATGTTATGGCATGGATAACCATGCTAGCGTGATGGGGATGGCCTGAATTCTTTACCACCCCTTACTATCCATGCCTTGAGCACCCCATATGAGTTTCAGAGCAATCTGAGAAGGGTAGCATAGTGGCGAGAAGGGAAGCGTCAAGGCATGCATCAGGGGTAGGAAAACAGCACCCAAGCACTTGATGTTATGGCATGGATAACCATGCTAGCGTGATGGGGATGGCCTGAATTCTTTACCACCCCTTACTATCCATGCCTTGAGCACCCCATATGAGTTTCAGAGCAATCTGAGAAGGGTAGAATAGTGGCGAGAAGGGAAGCGTCAAGGCATGCATCAGGGGTAGGAAAACAGCACCCAAGCACTTGATGTTATGGCATGGATAACCACGCTAGCGTGATGGGGATGGTCTGAATTCTTTACCACCCCTTACTATCCATGCCTTGAGCACCCCATATGAGGTTTAGAGCAATCTGAGAAGGGTAGCATAGTGGCGAGAAGGGAAGCGTCAAGGCATGCATCAGGGGTAGGAAAACAGCACCCAAGCACTTGATGTTATGGCATGGATAACCATGCTAGCGTGATGGGGATGGTCTGAATTCTTTACCACCCCTTACTATCCATGCCTTGAACACCCCATATGAGTTTCAGAGCAATCTGAGAAGGGTAGCATAGTGGCGAGAAAGGAAGCGTCAAGGCATGCATCAGGGGTTGGAAAACAGCACCCAAGCACTTGATGTTATGGCATGGATAACCATGCTAGCGTGATGGGGATGGTCTGAATCCTTTACCACCCCTTACTATCCATGCCTTGAGCACCCCATATGAGTTTCAGAGCAATCTGAGAAGGGTAGAATAGTGGCGAGAAGGGAAGCGTCAAGGCATGCATCAGGGGTAGGAAAACAGCACCCAAGCACTTGATGTTATGGCATGGATAACCATGCTAGCGTGATGGGGATGGTCTGAATTCTTTACCACCCATTACTATCCATGCCTTGAGCACCCCATATGAGTTTCAGAGCAATCTGAGAAGGGTAGCATAGTGGCGAGAAGGGAAGCGTCAAGGCATGCATCAGGGGTAGGAAAACAGCACCCAAGCACTTGATGTTATGGCATGGATAACCATGCTAGCGTGATGGGGATGGTCTGAATTCTTTACCACCCCTTACTATCCATGCCTTGAGCACCCCATATGAGTTCTAGAGCAATCTGAGAAGGGTAGCATAGTGGCGAGAAGGGAAGCGTCAAGGCATGCATCAGGGGTAGGAAAACAGCACCCAAGCACTTGATGTTATGGCATGGATAACCACGCTAGCGTGATGGGGATGGTCTGAATTCTTTACCACCCCTTACTATCCATGCCTTGAGCACCCCATATGAGGTTTAGAGCAATCTGAGAAGGGTAGCATAGTGGCGAGAAGGGAAGCGTCAAGGCATGCATCAGGGGTAGGAAAACAGCACCCAAGCACTTGATGTTATGGCATGGATAACCATGCTAGCGTGATGGGGATGGTCTGAATTCTTTACCACCCCTTACTATCCATGCCTTGAACACCCCATATGAGTTTCAGAGCAATCTGAGAAGGGTAGCATAGTGGCGAGAAAGGAAGCGTCAAGGCATGCATCAGGGGTTGGAAAACAGCACCCAAGCACTTGATGTTATGGCATGGATAACCATGCTAGCGTGATGGGGATGGTCTGAATCCTTTACCACCCCTTACTATCCATGCCTTGAGCACCCCATATGAGTTTCAGAGCAATCTGAGAAGGGTAGAATAGTGGCGAGAAGGGAAGCGTCAAGGCATGCATCAGGGGTAGGAAAACAGCACCCAAGCACTTGATGTTATGGCATGGATAACCATGCTAGCGTGATGGGGATGGTCTGAATTCTTTACCACCCATTACTATCCATGCCTTGAGCACCCCATATGAGTTTCAGAGCAATCTGAGAAGGGTAGCATAGTGGCGAGAAGGGAAGCGTCAAGGCATGCATCAGGGGTAGGAAAACAGCACCCAAGCACTTGATGTTATGGCATGGATAACCATGCTAGCGTGATGGGGATGGTCTGAATTCTTTACCACCCCTTACTATCCATGCCTTGAGCACCCCATATGAGTTCTAGAGCAATCTGAGAAGGGTAGCATAGTGGCGAGAAGGGAAGCGTCAAGGCATGCATCAGGGGTAGGAAAACAGCACCCAAGCACTTGATGTTATGGCATGGATAACCATGCTAGCGTGATGGGGATGGCCTTAATTCTTTACCACCCCTTACTATCCATGCCTTGAGCACCCCATATGAGTTTCAGAGCAATCTGAGAAGGGTAGCATAGTGGCGAGAAGGGAAGCGTCAAGGCATGCATCAGGGGTAGGAAAACAGCACCCAAGCACTTGATGTTATGGCATGGATAACCATGCTAGCGTGATGGGGATGGTCTGAATTCTTTACCACCCCTTACTATCCATGCCTTGAGCACCCCATATGAGTTTCAGAGCAATCTGAGAAGGGTAGAATAGTGGCGAGAAGGGAAGCGTCAAGGCATGCATCAGGGGTAGGAAAACAGCACCCAAGCACTTGATGTTATGGCATGGATAACCATGCTAGCGTGATGGGGATGGTCTGAATTCTTTACCACCCCTTACTATCCATGCCTTGAGCACCCCATATGAGTTTCAGAGCAATCTGAGAAGGGTAGCATAGTGGCGAGAAGGGAAGCGTCAAGGCATGCATCAGGGGTAGGAAAACAGCACCCAAGCACTTGATGTTATGGCATGGATAACCATGCTAGCGTGATGGGGATGGCCTGAATTCTTTACCACCCCTTACTATCCATGCCTTGAGCACCCCATATGAGTTTCAGAGCAATCTGAGAAGGGTAGCATAGTGGCGAGAAGGGAAGCGTCAAGGCATGCATCAGGGGTAGGAAAACAGCACCCAAGCACTTGATGTTATGGCATGGATAACCATGATAGCGTGATGGGGATGGTCTGAATTCTTTACCACCCCTTACTATCCATGCCTTGAGCACCCCATATGAGGTTCAGAGCAATCTGAGAAGGGTAGCATAGTGGCGAGAAGGGAAGCGTCAAGGCATGCATCAGGGGTAGGAAAACAGCACCCAAGCACTTGATGTTATGCCACGGTACTCATTATCACCAAGGTACTGACTCTGTTCCCCTCGTTGTCCAGCCCCTACATCACCACTAAAGCTAAGCCAGCAACTCACATTCAAACCCAAGTCACACTCACCCACTCTGAGCTTCACTCACGCACCAATGCACTGCCCACGCGATTCATGCTGGTGAACACTCGCCACAACCATGGTCCTATCCCGAGACCTGGTATCCTCGCTGAACCTGCATCAGCAGATAGGCCGGTCGAGGGAGCGGATTGTCGCGACGAATTTAACCCGTTTTTTGCCGAGATGGAGGAGACGCTATCGCACCGGAGGTTTGACACACAAAGGGAAACGTTTCGGTTCTTGTCAATGTGCAACAAAGGCGCCGGCATTATTTTTCAAACTAATCAAAGACCCGGACTTCTGCCTTGAAGAGTTGCGCACTTGGAACGGTAAACACGCGGTTGACAAATACGCGTTGGAGAAGTTGGGCATTCAAGACCGTGTGGATGATTGGCCGCTGGAGAATAACTTCAAGACCGTGTGGAGAATAACTTCAAGACCGCTGAAATCCGCGTGGATGATTGGCCCACCGTTTTCAAACTCAAGTACAGTGACCCCATAGAGGTATGCACTAACTATGCTACACCATGTTATTTTTTTCCGCGTTCCACGTACACCCGTTCAACTGTAATGGCATATGTATCAACTCTGCTCCTCAGGCATTGCTCCGGATGTGGCGTGACCCCAAAAACAAGGATGGATTCGTCCACCGTGCGGCACGGGTCATGGAAAACGACGAGCGGGTATACGGGCCCGCACAGTCAGGCACATTTTGGGAGGAAGCGCAGGTACGCTCTTTACTGCACATGGCGAATGTGTGATTGGAATGTGTGATGGAAAAGTAACCAGTGGTAACGAAAGCGGGGCAACTGTGTGGCGGGAGAAGTTGGTGAGTGGCAAGGAATGGAAGGTGCATGGCAGGGAATAGAAGGTGAGTGGCAGGGAATGGAAGGTGCATGGCAGGGAATAGAAGGTGAGTGGCAGGGAATGGAAAGGGGCATGGCAGGGAATAGAAGGTGAGTGGCAGGGAATGGAAGGTGCATGGCAGGGAATAGAAGGTGAGTGGCAGGGAATGGAAGGTGCATGGCAGGGAATAGAAGGTGAGTGGCAGGGAATGGAAGGTGCATGGCAGGGAATAGAAGGTGAGTGGCAGGGAATGGAAAGGGGCATGGCAGGGAATAGAAGGTGAGTGGCAGGGAATGGAAGGTGCATGGCAGGGAATAGAAGGTGAGTGGCAGGGAATGGAAGGTGCATGGCAGGGAATAGAAGGTGAGTGGCAGGGAATGGAAAGGGGCATGGCAGGGAATAGAAGGTGAGTGGCAGGGAATGGAAGGTGCATGGCAGGGAATAGAAGGTGAGTGGCAGGGAATGGAAGGTGCATGGCAGGGAATAGAAGGTGAGTGGCAGGGAATGGAAGGTGCATGGCAGGGAATAGAAGGTGAGTGGCAGGGAATGGAAAGGGGCATGGCAGGGAATAGAAGGTGAGTGGCAGGGAATGGAAAGGGGCATGGCAGGGAATAGAAGGTGAGTGGCAGGGAATGGAAGGTGCATGGCAGGGAATAGAAGGTGAGTGGCAGGGAATGGAAGGTGCATGGCAGGGAATAGAAGGTGAGTGGCAGGGAATGGAAGGTGCATGGCAGGGAATAGAAGGTGAGTGGCAGGGAATGGAAAGGGGCATGGCAGGGAATAGAAGGTGAGTGGCAGGGAATGGAAGGTGCATGGCAGGGAATAGAAGGTGAGTGGCAGGGAAAGGGATGGTTCGTGTCAGTAAAGTGATGGTGAGTGGCAGGAAAGGGATTGTTAGTGTCAGTTAAGTGATGGTGAGTGGCAGGAAAGGGATTGTTAGTGTCAGTAAAGTGATGGTGAGTGGCAGGGAAAGGGATGGTTCGTGTCAGTTAAGTGATGGTGAGTGGCAGGAAAGGGATTGTTAGTGTCATTAAAGTGATGGTGAGTGGCAGGAAAGGGTGGTGAGTGGCAGGAAAGGGATTGTTAGTGTCAGTAAAGTGATGGTGAGTGGCAGGAAAGGGATTGTTAGTGTCAGTTAAGTGATGGTGAGTGGCAGGAAAGGGATTGTTAGTGTCAGTTAAGTGATGGTGAGTGGCAGGAAAGGGATGGTGAGTGTCAGTTAAGTGATGGTGAGTGGCAGGAAAGGGATGGTGAGTGTCATTAAAGTGATGGTGAGTGGCAGGAAAGGGATTGTTAGTGTCAGTTAAGTGATGGTGAGTGGCAGGAAAGGGATTGTTAGTGTCAGTTAAGTGACGGTGAGTGGCAGGAAAGGGATGGTGAGTGTCAGTTAAGTGATGGTGAGTGGCAGGAAAGGGATGGTGAGTGTCATTAAAGTGATGGTGAGTGGCAGGAAAGGGATGGTGAGTGTCATTAAAGTGATGGTGAGTGGCAGGAAAGGGATTGTTAGTGTCAGTTAAGTGATGGTGAGTGGCAGGAAAGGGATTGTTAGTGTCAGTTAAGTGATGGTGAGTGGCAGGAAAGGGATTGTTAGTGTCAGTTAAGTGATGGTGAGTGGCAGGAAAAGGATGGTGAGTGGCTGGGAAAAGGGCGGTGAGTGGCTTATGGTTGTCACATGAGAGTTTGTGTATCATGACTGTGGTTAATGTTGCCAACCATAATGCGATATGTGCGCCTTTGTCGTACCACCCCCTTAATGTCATGTGCAGGTTGGGTTGTCCTCCAACGAGCTGGTGTGTCCGCTCATACTTTCTAGTGACGAGACCCTCCTTAGTGGAAACGAACGCCTGAAGGCGTGGGCATTCTACTTGACATGCACCAACATCCCTCTCCATCTCCGCTGGAAGGATCACGGGAGAGTATTGATTGCGCTCATCCCGATCGCAGACTCTGACATGGAACCATTCCAGAAAGTGGAGCTCTTCCAGAAAGCTCAACACATTGTTCTCGAATCAGTGATTTCAGCTTGCCAAAGGTATGCCTCGCTGACATGCAATCGTATATGCCAGCACTCTTGGCCACGTTTCATAAGCGATACGTTGATACATAGACATGTTCCGTGATCCCCGTGCTTCGTTTCCCATCGAGTGTCTATCTGCACATGCCTTTTTCCACCGCTCTCTTCCCATGACAGATCCCCACGGGGACACTTTCACCGTGTGGCCGAAGTTGTACTCGTACGTGACCGATTACCCAGAGGGATCGCGCGTCACGTGCACAATGCAACATGCTTCCGAGAGACCGTGCTCGCAATGTTACGTCCACAAAAACAACCTCGACAACATGGACCCAACACTAAACCATCCGCGGACTGTGGAGAAGCAGACTTGGTTGTCCGAGTGTACCGACAAAAAAAAAGAGAGGAATATTCAACACACCAATCGCCAGTGAGTTGTACAAGGGCTGAGAGTGCGGGATGGGTGAGTTGAGCATGCGCTATGTACGAGGGCAGAGAGTGCGGGATAGGTGACTTGAGCATGCGCTATGTACGAGGGCAGAGAGTGCGGGATGGGTGAGATGAGCATGCGCTATGTACGAGGGCAGAGTGTGCGGGATGGGTGAGCTGAGCCTTGCTATGTACAAGGGCATTGAGTTCGTGATGGGTGCGGTCAATGGTTATGTGGAAACCCTTAATCCTCCCCCATTGTCCTAAGTCCCATGACGACTATCCTAGTCGTTATATTCTCTACTACCCCCACTGCGCCATCCCAAAACCATGCAGTGTGTGTTATGGAAGTTCAACCGAGAATCCGAGCTCGACAAGCCGTGGGCAAATCCATACCTTGCAGTCTTGCCTGATGTCTTGCATGCTATTCTAATCGGCGTGTGGGTTTACATACTGGAGTGTGTGGTGAAGGGGGAGAACGTGGCCGAGATGACCAGGTACTTTTGATTGCGAGTACGTTCTACCGTGGCATGTTTTGGATGTCCCATAGTCTAACATGTTTATCTTGTGCCCTTGTTCATTATCAGGAGGCTCGGAGTTATGCACAAACTTGAGAGGTTCTCTGGGACGAAACTCCCTGCCGACGGCCGTTATTTCAAGCCTGGGGCAAACTACGCTGCAGCCGAGCATGCAAGCATGATAAGTGTGAGTATACTCGTTTTGCATAGTTGGTTTTGGTGAAATACAGCACCAATGCACTTGATGTGAGTTGGTTCTTGACCCAATGCGCTGACAAGACCTTCTTTTGTGCACAGGTGGTGTTGCTAATCATGGAAGGGCTGCAAATTCCAAACGTTAAGATGACTGTGTTGCGGACGTTTGTGAAATGGTACCACAACTATTTTTGTGTTACAAAGTACACCGAGACCATGTTGCGGCAGTATCTCACAGACACAGCAGAGTGAGTGTTCCCCTTACAACCTCGTATCAGTTTGTTTGCATTATTGTGTACCCGACGCCCATTCTGTCCAAACTAGCACTAACACATTACATTCGTATGTCCAGGCTTGTGCGTCTACTGAAGACAAATCTACCTCGTGGCGGATTTGAGTGGAAGCTTGTGAAAATCCACGCACTCGTGCACTTTCCAGATGCCATTCGTAGAAGTGGCATACCAGCCGAATTCTCAACAGCGCTATTCGAGCATGCCCACTCCTCCACCTGCAAGCGTGTCTTCCGGGCATCCAACTACCGAGACTACGAGGAGGCTATCATGCGAATGATCATAGTCCGTTCGGTCATTCTACACATGCCTACAGCTCTTGGCGAGAAGAATCATCGCCTAACGGCCTTGCTGAAGGTGTGAGACAATGTGCTTCCCATCCTCTTCATTCCACGGACACCACATGCCAGCCAAATCGCATACATGTGATCTCACACCCAACAACCATGCGTTCACACCACCAAGCGATCCAACTCACAACCCTTACGATTGCCCATTCACACCCATATGCCTTCACACACACACCAACATGCCAGCCCTAACACACCCACATGCCATCCCACACGCTCCCACTTGGCAGCCCACTCCACAATATATGCCGCACACAATCGCATGCCTGCCCACTCACACAAAAATATGCCATCCCCCTCACACCCACATGCCATCCCACACGCTCCCACTTGGCAGCCCACTCCACAATATATGCCGCACACAATCGCATGCCTGCCCACTCACACAAAAATATGCCATCCCCCTCACACCCACATGCCATCCCCCTCACACCCACATGCCATCCACCCCACACCCAGATGCCATCCCTCACACACACATGCCATCCCTCACACACCCACATGCCATCCCCCCCACACCCACATGCCATCCCCCTCACGCCCACATGCCATCCCCCTCACACACACATGCCATCCCCCTCACACCCACATGCCATCCTCCTCACACCCACATTACAAGCCTCACTCAAAGGCATGCCTGCCCACTCACACACCCATGACATGCCACAACCACCCACATGACATGCCACACACACCCACATGCCATGCCACACACACCCACATCTGCCACACTCACCAAAATGCCAGCCCACACACACCCACATGTCATCCCACACGCGCGACCATGCAAGCACACTGACACCCACATGCCATCCCTCACACACCCACATGCCATCCCCCTCACACCCACATGCCATCCTCCTCACACCCACATTACAAGCCTCACTCAAAGGCATGCCTGCCCACTCACACACCCATGACATGCCACACCCACCCACATGACCTGCCCACTCACACCCACATCTGCCACACTCACCAAAATGCCAGCCCACACACACCCACATGTCATCCCACACGCGCGACCATGCAAGCACACTGACACCCACATGCCATCCCTCACACACCCACATGCCATCCCCCTCACACCCACATGCCATCCTCCTCACACCCACATGCCATCCCCCTCACACCCACATGCCATCCCCCTCACACCCATATGCCATCCCCCTCACACCCACATGCCATCCCCCTCACACCCACATGCCATCCCACTCACACCCACATGCCATCCCCCTCACACCCTCATGCCATCCCCCTCACACCCACATCCCATCCTCCTCACACCCACATTACAAGCCTCACTCAAACGCATGCCTGCCCACTCACACACCCATGACATGCCACACACACCCACATGACATGCCACACACACCCACATCTGCCACACTCACCAAAATGCCAGCCCACACACACCCACATGTCATCCCACACGCGCGACCATGCAAGCACACTGACACCCACATGCCATCCCTCACACACCCACATGCCATCCCCCTCACACCCACATGCCATCCCCCTCACACCCACATGCCATCCCCCTCACACCCACATGCCATCCTCCTCACACCCACATGCCATCCTTCACACACCCACATGCCATCCCCCTCACACCCACATGCCATCCCACTCACACCCACATGCCATCCCCCTCACACCCTCATGCCATCCCCCTCACACCCACATGCCATCCCCCTCACGCCCACATGCCATCCTCCTCACACCCACATTACAAGCCTCACTCAAACGCATGCCTGCCCACTCACACACCCATGACATGCCACACCCACCCACAGGCCATGCCACACACACCCACGTGACATGCCACACACACCCACGTGACATGCCACACACACCCACATATGCCACACACACCAAAATGCCAGCCCACACACCATCCCACACGCGCGACCATGCAAGCACCCTCGAACACACATGCCATCCCCTTCACACCCACAACCCAGCCAACTCACACCCACATGCCAGCCCACTCACACCCACATGCCAGCCAGCTCACACCC